GAATAATTTAAATGCAGAATGGAAAGACCTTATAATGATATTTTAGTGTTTAAATGGTATTATTAAAACCTTTTTGATACTTAATCCTCTACTAGCATTTTTTTTCTGGATCCTCTCCTGCTGATAATGTTAACAAAGGTGACGAATGATCTTGACGATTATACTGATGATGAGGATGTTGGCGACGATGACAAAGATTATTTGGGTATTAAAACGCCAACCAAAAATATAAATATTTAAATAACAATATTTATAATCAGTCACCAAAAAAGTTGCAATGAAATATGTAGCATTGTTTAAAGTCAATTAACTCTGTACAAAATACTATGAATTTAAGTGAGAGGCGTTTAACAAATATAGCGCCTACATGGGTGTATCCAGGATTTTTTTTGTGGGGGGGGGGGTCGTGATCATTAAAAAAAAGTGTTTATAATCAATTTCTTAATAAAATTACTTTGCTTATATTTTTCAACAGTTAAAATAAATTGAAAAGTAAGCTCTGTTTCTTTATCTTGGGAAAAATGCTTCGGTCACATGGATCGAGTCTAACAATAATTCGCATACAACATTCATGCCATTTCAACAATTATTTAATTCGGAAATAATTAAACATTTGTTTTTACTTTATTTGTTTTTGTCTTCTATAGACATTGGTTACAAGCGCAGTAGAGGTTCTTCTGAAACAGAAGGTAGGCACAATCTCAGACTGATAAAGTGGCAACAAGAGAACACTGTATTTAAACGTTATTAGTCAGATCACAAAATGATCAGTATTTCCTCAGATCTCATCATTTAAATTCAAGTGATTGCTGTCAAGGCATGGTGGTGAATTATGTACAGTAACAACACTAGTTTCTGCAATACTCTAGCAATAAATTTAATTTACAAATTTTTGACATCATTGACTGAAATATTTTAATGTACAGTACCTTAAATTTATGAGAAAACCTTAAAAATGCAGACATATGCTTTTGTTCCATTCAGATATTTACAGATATTTTGAATCTACCATCTTTATACTCTGTAGGTAGATGTGGTGAAGGTATATTGTACAATGATTGTCTCTAAGTGATAACCCTATTTTCTATGTACAATTGGATGTTTTACATGATTCTTAAATGTCTAATTATTTTATATCATTGTCAGATGAGGAGTTAAATGTGCTTAAAGTTATTGTCTCACAGTGGTATGACAGCCATGTATGTCTTAGTATGCTGAAAGTGTTGTTCAGCGATATGATGGATTTTCTAAAATTATCAGACACAACCAATACGATGGAATTGCTGAATACATTATATGCTCAAGGTCAACTGAATCTTGGACTCATCTGTGATACTATTGCAGTAACTAAACAGTTTGGTCTTCAACGGGAGATTAAAAAAAGACTGCCATCATTCCCGGAAGTTCAGGAAGGATCCATTTCAAAAGCATTTACATCCCACAGACAAAAGCTAATGAAATTTGGTATGCAACTGACCATAAACAATGTGAGGCAGCTTGATGCATTATATAATGTCCCTGCTAAGAGGTATACCGACAGCTGGAGTATGATCAGTGATCTAGAAAACAGAGAGATAATCAGTGAAAGATATATGGAGCCTTTCATTGATTCCTTGAAATTCTCACTGAATCTCACTGAGGCTTGTGAAGTACTAACAGAAGGTATTCCTCATAGTTTGAAATAAGAACAGATTATATGTCAGATTTGTATGTCAGCCATCTTCATTTACTTGAAGGTCGACTGTTATAAAATGTTTTTATAGTGCTGATTATTTTCATACTTTTGATGAACATTCACTAAGGGTATGTTCACACATACAGCGTAAGACTAGCGTAGCTTACGCTGGCGTAAGCAAATCCACGGATTAAAATCCAAAGTGTTCACACAAACGGCGTTCGCTATATTAACGCTGGTGTTAAACTTGTAGTAATATAGTCCTATGGGGGAATAGTTTTTAGTTTTAAATAATGTACGGGTTCTTAACTGTAGTAAAATTAAAACTTTTAAATCTAGTAATTGTTTCAAAGTGAACTTAAATGATTATTGTATTTTAAATGAACAATTTTACTTCTGATTTTTCAGCTGTCATTGTAGAACAATTAGACTAGAAAAAAAATCTGAAAAAAATGAGTTAGGGGGAGTGGAATGTTAGAAGCAATCCACATAGCCAGATATCCTAATTAATCCCTTCTGGTCACCCTAAGCCCTGTTGACACTTGATTTTACTCCTTGTATACAAATGGCGGCCATTTTGAAAAATGGCCGCCAAATTTATCTAAAATGTGCATAAACAGGCCCGTAGCCAGGGGGGTTTTTAGGGGTTCGGGCGAACCCCCCTTTTTCAGCGAACCCCCCTTTTGCCAGCAAACCCCCTTAGCCAGAAAACGATCCCCCGTTTCCAAAATAACACGTTCACCAGTAGAACTCTTAAAAAGAATACTAGATTCTGAAAGCGAAACATTGCTTAATTTACTATATACCCATTCAGGTACAACTGTATACTTAGCACCGGTCTCAAAATCAAATTTCTGTCCATTTAGTTCAAGTTCAACTTTTATTGGGTTAGACGCATTTGACGCACTGATCATTGAAGCCATTATTACACTGTTATTGTCTTGTTGTTCTTCCACTTGAACTGAATTTTGTTGATGTCGCGTAGTGGTTTTCTTTGTCCTGCATTGTGACGCTATATATCCCTTTTTCTTGCAATTATGACAGTCTTTTTCTTTAAACCAACACTCATCTGGCTTATGTTTCCCTCTACCACACCTATAACATGCAGCTCTATTTGACTGATGCTGTTGTGGTTGTTTACGGCTATGCTTATAACGGCCACTACTACTGCTATCGCTTGCAACACCCCTGCCTCTCAAATTTGTACGCTGTTGTATGGCATGAACACTGGATGTTCTACTATTATTACTAGCTGCTGACCAGTGGCGGACCGTAGGGTAAATTGCAGGGTATGCTAGGTAT